GCCGTAGTGATCGATGTAGCGGTTCCGAATGTTTCTAAAAATAAGGAAGTAAAACATTTGTGTCTCTTTACCAGCTGAAAAACACCTCAGTCGATCACAGTCGGCTGCAAACGTTCCTTCCGTCCTGTGGGTGTTTGCTGACCTTTCTTTGTGTCAAAGTTCATTTGTTTCTGTTAGAAAAATAAAGGCTTGGTTCTTATTTATTCTCTCACCAAATTAAAATGATCTCCTGTAATCTGCAGGCTCATTTGTTGTGAAACAAAAGCATTCCAGCTCTACAAGCTGCTTACGGATCTGGACTGGAGGCAGTTTTCTCTGAGCACAGACGCTGAGAGGGCAGCGAGGCAAAGCACTTCAGGTAATCTCACAGAAGTGTGAATAAAACAACGCACCGATTTTCAATCCGAATGCTGTTTAAACGAATCAGCAATTGAAGGGCCAACAGAGACAGCAATGCTTCATAGGAGGAAAACACATCAGACTTGCATTGAACTGGCTTCGTATTTTACACAGGTTGCTATTTGCCCTTTTTAAAAACAAAACAAAACGTTAACCCCGACTTGTCCCTTTCTCAGCACTTTAGACCAATTAAAAAATTTCCTTTTATCTCCAAAACTTCAGAAAAAGTGTTGGCCAACCAGCTCCCAGTGTTTCTACCTGCTTATTGCATTTGAGATGAGTTTCTGTCAGCTACTCAAACAGCCCTGCTCAGAGTTTATGATCATAATTTAAGTAATGATTTGCGTATCTCTTGACCCATTTAAGGGGCCCAAGCCCCAGTTCAGGAACCTTGAGACTGAAACCCGCTGACTCTAAATAAAGTAAATCTTCTCTGAAATGTGGCTGAAGTTTCACAGTAACGTTCACACTTGATCTTGATTTGCATACCCTTGGTATGTTGTTCTTTGTTTGTAACTATGGGTCAGATGTGAAGCTATAACCCTTCTTGTCTCACTGATATCAGTTTTGTTTTGAGAATAAAGTTATTCCATCTGATCCCTGCTGTTTATTCGTCTCTATCTATCTTTTTTTTTTTTTACCTTTTTAAATGATTTTTGCAGCATTCATTCATTTTAATTGGATGCCTACATGATCCTTCATCCTATTGGCTCTCTGCTCTTTATTGGTGACCAATTACAGGCTGCCATTCTTCATAGATTCTCCATAGTTCCTCTCAGCTGCCTCTGGCTGCAGCAGCTTTGCTTCAGCTTGCTGTCTGACTGTTTGAATCTCTGACTTCACGATGGCACTGCTGTCCATCCAGGCCGGAGTGAAATATGCCAAAACGCTGCTGCCAGAGACTCTGATGAGGTGAGTTTGTTAAATGTTATCAAAACTTAAAGTTGAGTTTTATAAATTCAGTTTAGTTATCGTAAATGTGGGGATTAGACAAATATTGGCAATTTTGCAGAGGAAGCTGCGTGTGCAGAACTGTAGAAGAACAATGGCAGCCACTCAGTAAATAGGATTACTGAACCTTTCAAATAGTGAAAGCAGCTGAGAGGGTTTTTATGGATGTAAGTCTGAGGTTATTAAAACCTCCGACTTGACTATGAGATCAAACTGTGATGCAGTAAACTTTGAATGACCTGCAGGTTCGTGTCCACAGTCCAGACCATCTCTCGACTCATGCTGCCCCTAAATCAGCCTCGCCGTTTCAGAGTGTGCACATACAGCCGGATGCGGCGGCGAAGTTTGACTGCGTCTTCTCTAGATGAGCTCCTGGAGCAGGTAAAAACAACCTGTAAACTCTCTTAGACAATAAACAGTAGTGTGCATAAGTCTTGAGCCAGCTCTCATTTCTTTATATTTTGTTAAGAAAAGAAGAAACAGGTGCAAACATGGAAAAATGTTAAATAAGGCAAAAACAGTTTGTACAATTTAAACACACTTTAAATTCAATATTTGGTATGATTACCTTTATTCTTCATTACAACCTGAACCCCCTTTTTAGTAGTTTCTTTAAGCAGTCTTTAGGAA